ATAATTTCAAGTACTACATTATCAGATCCTGCTCCATTTAATAAATATAAGAATTTCATTTTTCATCTGGAATACTCATTCATATAGAGTGGAACTTCCGAAGCGTTAGTAGTGTGGATATTAATCCCTTTTGCTTTATTATTTTTTAATGTAGACCCTTCATTATTATTACACACCTTTATACTTAACTTAAGCAAGTATTATATTATGTGCAAAAAGTTGACTGTAAATGGACACCTTCAATACTGGGTACCGGACATAAAGTCATGGGAAGAAACGAAATAGTGGATACGATTATCAACACGAAGACAATATACCATATAAAACCTTCTTAAAAAATAGATTTTCAAATCGATGAAGAAGTAGAACAGTTTAGACTATGGTGAAACTGCAAAGCGATGTGTACATGACATAAAAAAATTTCACATACTCCTATAGTGACTCTGGTAAAGTTTCTGTAGATATGCTATAATGATAACGATAACACTGCACTAATATACTACATTATAAACACTATAGTAGGAATTACCAATAGAGATGTTGGCGGGAAATGCAGAGAGCTGAAAACTAAGGAGACTTTTAAAATTGCTTTTAAACTCCCTTTGGAATAAAGCTTTAAGCATTACTTACACTCGTAGAAAGCATTACTGTTAATGATTTTTGATTAAACATTGATTAAGCACATTGATTTTCTCAACACACTTAGATATTAAAATTTTAACAATGGATAAATTATATTATAATTTTACACACATTTTTTTTTATCTCAATAAAACTATCTCTAAGAATTAAATAGAGAAAATTGCCACCATTATCTCAATAGGCAATGGATTAAATTTTATTCCAGTCATTAGGGATAAGAGTTGATATAAAAAGAAGTGTCTACTTAGAAGTCTCGGCTTATCTAAACCAGAAGACGTCGTACAGGAAAGGGGAGGTGTGTGAAAGATGAAGAGTTCTTGCGCAAGCGTGGGAGTAGATTGATTGTCGCATCAGTGATCAGAGTCACGAAAGCTACAATCAAAGAGATAGTGATATGAATGTGAAGTATTAGGTTAGGTATTGAAGGTGCATGAGTATAAAAAAAAGGATACTAGAATTTGCGATGTCGGGAGATGGGTTATGCAAATGGGTGATAAGCCCTGTTATATAAAAGGCTATTATACGAGTTGAGGAGTTGTAAGGGACTAATTTATGTAGGCTGCTCCTTTGATTTATACACATTTGTCATGATATTTTATTGCGACATATAAGCCTAAATAAACACTAACTTACAAAGGGATGTTTACAATTATATAACATTTGTTAAGGCATATGTGCCTAAATAAATACTAATTTATAATAAGATTATTATTAAAATAAAACATTTTTTATGGTGTATGTGCCTAAATGAACACTAATATATGCAAGATAATTAAATATGTTCCTAATATTCCTAAGATATTTACTCTAAAATAAGATAGTCACTCTAAAATAAGACATGTCACACTTGAAAGTCTGTTGTTGCTTAGTACTCTATTAATCTCTATAAACACCCTGTATATTTATAACCCAGCATTGAACAAAAAAAAAGTTTCGGAAAATGATAAAAATATTGAAATTGTGATATTATACAATTTATGTCTCTTACACACAGTTTTAACACTCAGGCAAACACACGTGCATATATACATATATAAACGTATACATATACATACTCGTATATATATGAATATATATGCCAGGAGCATAACTTATGTAAATAAAACTGATAGTAAAGCTCACAAAAGTCAAAAGCTAAGTTCTTCTTTTATTCGCAAACATAAAAGAAACATTAAAAACAATCACAGCTGCGTACAAGCACATAAAACCTAAACAAGTTAACTCGGAGGAAGTCGCAATGAATGAATGAACGGAAAACGGAAATATCATAAGCAGCTGCGGAAGCAAGGCACTGCCATTTTGGAATGGAGAAATGTAAAGCTAAAATAAAAATGAAATGAAATGAAATGAAATCTTTCTTGAAGTTTGCTGGCATGGCAGAAGTTCCATTGCGTACAACAACAACAACAGCAATAGCAACAATAACGAGAACAACAGCAACGAGTAGAGTAGTAGAGTGGAATAGTGTTGGTTATAACTTTTATGAATGTAACCAGTAATGTCAAGTGGCATCACTCAAGAGGTTAGAACGTTAAGACACCTCCTGAACACGAATTAAATATATAATTGCGGATTTCGCATGCAAATGGCTTGCGATAGTTTAGCTCAAAGATATTTTCATTTCTGCAGCTTAGTCGATACCGAATGGAATGGATTTTGTGCATAAGTGGAACGAGTACTCAATATAAAATTAAAATTAGTTTCTTGAAAATGAATTGAAAACGTTTTGCATATTGCGCTAGAAGGGTAGAAGGGCAATGGAGGGGAGGATTACGCGATTTTAAATTGGAATTAAAATGCTGACTGTAATTTGTAAAGGTTTAGTAGAGATAAAGAGATCGCCTTTAGTTGCGCTTTATTTGAAATTAAGGATCTGTTGAATTCAATTGCTTTTTTCCTTAGTTATCTTACTAGGTCAATAGCTAGAATTTAAAATAATTTCAATAATAGGAATTGAAAGTACTTTCGAAGTAGTTAATCATGCAAATGTGTTATGTGGATTGTAAGAAATAATTTGTTACTTAAATATATATTAAGAGTTTTTATCAATTCAATATATTTAAAGTACACTTCAAATTCAAAGAAAATAAGAAGTTTTAGGATAAATTAGGACACATTGGCTGTAACTTAACTCAAAAACTCTTCTATTAGTAAAATTGTTTTCTTTCATCTTAATTCGGATTAAAAATTAAATTCAAGATATTTTTTTTGATTTTTTTTTTTTTTTTTTTGTTAAATACCACTACGTCTTTGGAATGTTTCTCACTTTTGATTACTTACGCATACTCTACTCTATTTACTTAATTTTTTTACTTCTTAATTTTTTTCAAAAATTTATTGAAGTTAATTAATTTATTTCAATTAAGTAATTTAACTTATTTGAATAAATATTTGTTAAAATAGTGCAATAAAAATTTAAACGAGTTTAAAAACAGATCAAATAGAATTTAAATATTAAAAGCTACAAATATTGAATGATGAGACTTTAAAGCAATAATACATTAATATTTATACATATATATATTCACTAGGGATAATTAAGTATTATTAAATAATAAACAATAAAACTAAAAATTAAAACTAAAATTATAAACAGATATAAATAACAGCCTTATACCTTTTCAATAGCGGTTATAATAATACGCCGCCTTGAGGAAGACGACTATATAATAATAAAAACTAAACTAAAAAGTTATCTACAATTTGTTTTCTTTTTACTTAACAAAAAGGCGTTCACCAATTAAAAATAATAAAAATAGTGAACTACAACTACTCTATACCATATATATTTTATTTCATTGATTTTAAATAATAAGGAAATTATAATTGATTGCAATATCTCTACCCTGTGACCTATAAGTTTCTTCTATAAATACCGTGTTTTTTTGTTGTCTATTGTTGTCTATCATCGGATTTCTCAATATGTTTTAGACGAGGGGAAGATATAAGACAATCAAAACCATAAATCACTGTAAGACTAAAACCTATCACTATCATCTCTCTGTCGAACAATTTAACCTTTCGAGATCAACGTTTAGATATTTGACATGATCATTATTTTATCATCAAGTAGCCTACCGTCTATATATAGTCATCTCAATAGTTTCTTCAGTTAAAGATTAAAGATATTATCTGTTGTGTTTCTGCAAGGGGCTAATGTTGTGTGACTATATAGAGTGTTATTTTTGTTGCAAATAGCGTATTCAGCTCATCTTGCAACTGTTGTTCTTGGTTATGTGAATCTGATAATGCATTACACTGATTTTTACAAGGTTCGAGCTACGTATGTTCTTGCTTACATTTGAGACTACTTAGGCACATTTTATGCATCAGATGATTAGATTGTTTGACTGTTAGAACATGCGGTCACAATGGAAAGTCATTTGTTTTACATTTGCAACAATATCAGGCAATAGAAACTAGCACTTAATTAAAAATCGTTAACATATATCAGGTAGCATCCTCGAACCTAGAGTATCTGTCAATCTGACTGTCCGTTTACCTGTCTGTCTATCTGTGCAACTATTATTATTTAACCTTTTATGTTTTTTGTATTATGTGTTAAACTTATTACTGATATGTTTTGTTTATTCCGGTGACATAAGTTGGTAAATGAATCAATTTGGGGAGTATTTCATGTAACGACATTAAAAATTAACTGTTTGAAACTATAATAATAATAATAATTAACAATACAATAATTAGCAATAGTTAAATACAATTTATTAATAGTACAATAATTTATTTCAGTAATTAAACAATTTATGACTCATATATTAATGCCAATACAAAGAATATCAAATCCTAGATATATCGAAAAATGACCTTTTCAATTTGATATTAAGAAATATAATAATCTCAAAACAAAAAACTTCAAATCAAAAATTTTAATTAATTAACTTAATTTTTTTTTGAAGAAATTTTCACGCATTTTTAATAACTTTATTAAATTCAATTTCTGAATTACGTATTTAGTTGCGTAAAACTCAAGTTTATCTTCCAGTAAAATTGAAACAACAGAATAACGTTTTCGGAACTCACAATCCGACAAAAGTGTGAAACTCAGCACTTCAGAAAGTTTCACTTAATGATTATACACAATTCATTAAAAGTTTCCGAACAATATTTTAACACGAAAAGTTTGCTCAAGCTTAATAATGAATTCCAATGCTAATTTTGATTAATGACATATCACAAAAAAAAAGAAAACAGAAAAAAAACATCACGTATTGTTATGTATCTAATTTGCAATTGTTGCAAAAGCAAATAAATAATTCTAACCATAAATTTTTATATTAAAATATATTCGGAAAAAGAATTTATTTGCATATAACTAAACATATTTTCTTTCTTTTCAGATTACAAACTTTTAACACGCAAACTTTCTCATTTCGATCCTTTAACACTGAAGGTTCCACTGAAGGATGTTGTCTGCTATTTATCACTACTGGAAGCCGGACGTCCAGAAGATAAACTTGAATGTAAGTAAAATGCACGCTTAGTAAAGTGAAATGGATTAATGGCACACTATGCAAAATTTTGAAAGTGGAAATAAAAAACCGGAGATGAATCACTAGAACACTGCAATCAAAATCCTCCAAATATATGTGTCGTACATTTAACGATATTTTTAAAAAAATCTTTTAAATAAGATTGAGGAGAATGGAATAAAAAATATATCTATTAGCACAGATTTTTCACTACATATCTTTGTTTACTAAAGAACCAGCTTCAATTATGTTGGTATAGCAATTTCTTAGGTTCTCATAATTTAATTATAATACTAAATATTTTTTTTATAATAAATTCAATTAAGTAAGATATTAATTAAACAACTAATTAGCATTAATTAATTTATTAATTAACAATTAACAAATAGCATTGATAGCTAGAATAATTACAGCCACAGTGTTCATTAAAGCATAAATCTGTTTTTTAAATCCCATTAATATAACTATATGATCTCGACGATTCTTACAAAAAAATGTGATTTTTTTAATTGTTCTAGATTTTATAATAAATCATACATACATATACACAAGTATACCTCATTACCTTTAATTAAATACTAGATATTTAGATTATCCGAAAAAATATAGCGTTAATACTAATATTTTTGTCATGTTATCAAATAATATTATCGAGGGGTTTCGTAATGAACTTCAACAACAAAATTTTTTATTATTCTAATTAATTGAGTTTATGACTGACCATACAAAGGTTTTGAATATTGTCAAATATCCATTATCAGTAGTCTTGAGAATTATTTTATATATTTAATTATTTGTAAATAATTTTTTAAGACTGCAAGAGTACCAAGGATTGAACTCATACTATGCCAAAGTTGAAACTCAGAGTCAGCGTTCATTAACCTACTGACCCAAAGCCGTACTTAACTTGTATGTTCGTGTTTGGAGTTTTGTTAATTTGTTGTGAAAGTTCATTAACCAATTCACCTACTCTGTTATATTAGAACGAAATCATACAGCAACTGTAAAACAGCTGTTTGATCAGCTATAAAATTCTATTTTGTTCTTGTAGTTTACTGCAGTTCGAAACCTCTGTATTAAAAACAATATTATTATTATATTATTTATTATTATTTTTATATTATTATTATATTATTATTATATTATTATTATGTTATTATTATATTATTATTATATTATTATTATATTATCATTATATTTCTGTTATTGTTATTAATTATTATTATTATTTTCATCAATTCAAACATTTTTAGTTTTTACTGAAGGCCCGCGTTAGGAAAGATATCTTTAAAATACATATTATATATTATAATATACAAAATATATATTAAAGACTTAAGAACGACTTTTAAAACCGTTCTTAACTTCATTTAAAATTTAGTTTTACGCAGAGTCCTGCCCAATTATTTGAAATTTTCATAATTTGATTAAATCTGATAAAAGCCTGAAGACTTTGACCGTCAAATAATTATTGTCCAACTCATTGCTAAAGTTGGATTTCTATAGAGCTTGATAATTTTTGCTCTTACTCTCCAGGTCGCGTCAATTTAAAATTTAAACCTTTGACCATCTCTATCCATTAAAAAATTTTCAGTTACAATGGAAACAATACATCTCATTTCGACCTAATCTAATTCATTTTGTTGCCTGATTTTAGATGGTCTTACAGACGAATAGATTTTTTTAAACGGTACAAGTAACATTTCATCTAATTTGGGATGTTGTAAGTAAAGAATTGTATATCAAAAATTTACGGAAGCTAATTAGTGATTATATTAGAATAACTAATATAGTTATAGTTACTTATAAATATGAGATTCTAAAGATTAAAAACAATATTTGCGCTTAATTTAGAACAGATTATTTTAAAAAGAAAGTATAGTTTAGTTTTGAGTTTTGTAAAATCTCTTCCATTCTTGGTGGTTCTATGTAATTCTTTTTATTTCTTTGTTTTTCATTTTCATCTCATTATTTCTTAAACTTTATACACTGATATTAGTCTTAGGTCACATTTATTTTAGCGCACGTTAAGAAACTCTCTACTCTATATGACTGAACCACTAAAATTTATGGCAGTCAGTGTTGAATTTCATTTCAATTATAAGTTTCTATTAATCCTCCAAACAACTTTTCCATATATAATTTATTTTTCTTATACTACAATATTTATTTCAGACTTTCACTCCGCAAACTTCTTATCTTCTGACATAAGCCATGTTGTATATCATCTATGTAAACATATTTTTTCTGTATAGTTTTTTGCAGTTATGACAGTTTATTTAAACTTTTATTTAAGAATTTCTTTTATAGTGATGCTTATTACTTAAACCGCCATTGAAATAGGAGTTATGTATGAAATATTCATTGTGAAATCAGAGCTTTTTTTATAATATTAGGTGTAGCTATAGTGGAATACTGTAATTACATGAACGTAACATTTATTTTTGTATCCACCTACACATGTCTCTCTTGCATAAAACTCCCACTTGCTAATACTAATAAATTCGTAGGAATAAACCACGGAATTCTGATTAAAATTGCATTGAAATTACTTTTATTTGCAGTTATGTTTCGCTTGTACGACACAGATGGAAATGGTGTCCTGGATACCGCTGAAATGGATGCGATTGTAAATCAAATGATGTCTGTGGCGGAGTATCTCGGCTGGGATGTTAGTGAACTAAGACCGGTAAGTTTTGCGTAAGAATTAGAACCACATCAGTTGGATTGTTTGCATTGCAATATATTGCTTGGGAAGAGAAATTTAAATGAAGGCTAATGAATGGTTGAGTTGCTTAGGAATATATTTAAGTATGCTAATTTCGTTGCCATATTTCACAGATAAGTTAATGTCAGGAGAAAATTCAAATGAACTTTTGTCAACGGCGCTCAAGTGAACAATAGCTGCTCTGATGGTACACGTTCGCTGGTTGCCTGGCAATCTGCGGGCGAATTATAAAAGTTTTCCAATTCCATTACAATGTTTGCAGTTTTCTTATAAAATTTTCTGGGACATATTATTTCATAAATTCTTTGTTATCAAATTATGTGACTTTTACTTCCAAAACTTATATTTTCACATTAAAGAAATGATAGCAAAATTTTAATTAACAAAAATACACTTTCGTATAAGACATATCAAATTATAAAGCCTGGAAGAAGCTGCGTATCGAGCTGGAAAATACCACTCGCAGAGACATGTACTTTTAAAACAGGCAAGTCACATTTATTAAAACTTTGGCATACTCCAAAGAATTTCAGTTTGACTTTTGATATGAAACTTAACAAACAAATTAATTTTCAAAAATATTTTTATCCATTTTAATAAGAGCAGAAAAATATAAGATCCCTTAAAATAAGATATATCTCTTACCAAAAATTGCAATCAAAAGTTTTTCGATTTTTTTATATAAAGTATGTGACTTTGGTTATATTATATAAAATCTCATATAATTATGTTGAAACTGTTTTGAGTGAGTGCACTTAAGCACTTATACTCTTTTTAGATTATTGTTTACCACTTCATCAGATTAAGCAATAATTGACCTCAGATCTACATACCTCCCCGAGGAGCCTGTAACTATTCTGAGATTTGATAACGCGGTGTTAGTAAGTCTGTCACATTTCGCAAATAATTTCGAGGCTCTATCCTTTATGTATTTTTGGATGGGATCAATCTTGATGTCCCTGAGGATGTTATTCCTCCTTATGTACCATGGAACTTTGAAAAGTTCGATATATATATATATATATCCGAATAGATATGGACGTATGTAAAAATTATACTTCATGAATGCTAAAATTTTACTCTTCATCTCATTTGCTACCGAAACAAAGCTATAACTCATAATTATTTCCAAAGCTTTCCCAAACATTTTAATGGATTTCATATACAACAGTTTACCATTCGTTGCAGTCGTTGGAGGCAACCAGTCGAAGGGCTAGTAGTTGCAAGTTCAGTAATCGGTGTCGACCAACAGTCGTAGAGCTAGTAGTCGCAGGCCCATTAGTCTCAGGCCTTATAGTTGTAGGACTGGCGGCCAGCAGTCACTGATGGAATGTAGTCGCAGCTCTAGTAGTCGCTGGTAGAAAGTAATCGCAGGTGGAATAATTACTTGTGGCCAGCAGTAGTAGGTCAAATATTCGCTGGCGCCCAGTAGTCGCCGAAATCTAGTAGTCGCAGACCTAGTAATCGCAGGCCTTGATTTGCTAATAATCGCAAGACCATGTCTTGCAGTCACTTATGGAAAGTTGTCGCAGCTCTAGTAGTCGCTGATTGAAACGTGTCACAATTCCAATATTCTCTGGCAGTCGCAAGGCCAATAGTCTCTGATGGTCAGCAGTAGCGAGACTAGTGGTCTCTGGCTGCCAGCAATCTTAAGACCAATTTCTTACTTACTTACTGCTCTTAGGCCAGTATTCGCTGACAACTAACAGTTGCAATGGACCAATTCTTATTAAAAGCCAATAGTTGCAAGGCACCAGTTGAAATATAGAGTGCTAGAAACCGCTGGGGAAAATAATTGTTGGAGATAAATATGATAAATATAAAAGCATTTCAAAATACAATTGTTGCAATATTGATAATGCACTGTTGGAAAAATATTTCTTTCAGCTTTATTTAGTGTTGTTTTCTCCTAATTATGATCTTCAGGCGATGAAGATTATCACCCATAAACAAAATTAACGGTGAATTTATGGAAACTCTTAAAATGTAAAATTTTCAATTTCGATTGCTGTTTGTGGCATTTGCCACTCTACTAACTTTCTATGAATCAAATGGAAGAGGTTTAGGATTGCTCTGCGGATTATCCATTGCCCATAGTGGTGAAAAAAAAACTCTATATGTTGAGTTTAGAGTCATTTACGTGTGTTTTTTTTTATTTAAAGTCAGCAAAAGTGGTAAAATTATGAACCATTCTTTTAAATTAGTAAGAATTTGTGCAAAATGATATTCTCAGTGACTTTTGGTATCTTTAAAAAGTAACCTCTAATTGCACTCTGTGATTAATCAAAATGATTTCGTGAACTTTTGCCTGTTTTCTGAAATAATCAACAATTTTATTAATTTAGTGTATCACCGATGTTTATACAAATATTGTTAAACACTCTACATTAATTATTATTTTAACAGAGCAATTCTGACAAAAGCCTTCATTAAAAGTCTTTCGTAAGATCTTTGTAAGATAGATCAGAAGACCGTTTGCATGATTTTAGTATAAAAATTAACAATTGAATTTTAATACAAATGCTATGGAAAACCACAATATATATTTTATATTTTCCCTTATTATTATTATTTGTACTAAAATAATTATTTATTGATAGCACAGCAGTGTTACTTTAAGTTTAAAATATAATAATAAAAGCTGAACTGTTTCCGTTAATGAAATAAAAAATAAGGTAAAATAAAATTTGACATATAAATTATAATTCTCATTTACTTTCAAGTACTTAAAATGTATAAACTCTAAAAATGTGTTATTGTAGTATATTTTTTTAATATAAAATTTTAGCTTCTTTTAATGTGATGTCTTCAATATCTAACCCTTCTGACATTTAAGTACTAGAGTTCGAAGATATTTGTCAATAATGAGAAAGTTGTGCAAAAAAAAAAATGAATATAAATCTGGCTTAGCTGTTAACATTTTGTAGCCTAAAAACATAATAATTAAATAATAATTAAAGCATTTTTTATATAACTTTCATTTATTAGTCATATGAAAAGGAATTAAAGTTTTAATTCATTTTCAATTAAATTTTTTAATAGTGCTTTTTAAATAATATAAATTATGGAAGTATTATTATTGATAATAAAATCAATATTGGAAATATCTTAGTTCATCACTTTTTTAATTTTTGAATTTTAAAATGATATTCATTATTAATATTATCATTTTTTTTAAAATACATTTTATTAAAATTATTATTTAAATTATATCACACATTTACAAACTGATTCTGTCAAATAAAGTTAAAAGTCTTTCAAAAGAATTTTTAAAATATAGAACGAAAAACTATTTGAAAGATTTTTATTATTAGCTATTCTGGCACAAAAGTCTTTCGAAAAAAGCTTAATCATTTGTAATTTGTGGTAGAAAGCTGTTTTGTTCTATTTCTTTCGTGGTGAAAACAAAAAAAAATAACCTTGACTACTTGTGAAAAATCACGATTAGTCATCGCTAATCGCTTCTAATTTGATAGGAACGAGTTTTAAGCCTGGCAATTGCAGTTCAACAAATTATCATTGGACTATAAACTAATTAAAAATTCAAATATATCTTAAAAACACGGCTTTAAGTCAGTTGATTAATGAACGCTGACTCTAAGCTTCAAATTTGGCAGGGCTGAAGTTTAATCTCTGGTACTTGCAGTTTCCAAAAAATTTTTTAGATATAATTAAATACAACAAATAATTTCAAGACCATTGATGATGAGTATTTGCAATACACGAAACAGCTGTATGGTTAACCAAAAATTCAATTAATTAAAATAACATTAAAAAAATATTTGTTGTTGTAGTTCACTATTTTTCGAAACTACTTCTCCATTAATTAATTATTAACTTCAATTTTAATTTTTATGTATTTTATTTTATATAAAAAGGATTATACGTAAAAAACATAAAAATCTTAGTTGACAATCGAAACACCTGATCAATAGCAGATCTTTTTGATCTTCAGAGAGACCGAAAAGAGCTTTAAGACTGATCTTTAAAGCGATCTTTTGTAAGGTATTTGAGTATAGTGAGGTGAAAGATCGTTGCTAGAATTGCCCAGTAAAAATAATCATGTATTATTTCAATTTCTAGTTTTTTTTATTATACAGTGATACTTAAGCCAGCCACTTATTTAAAGTGCCTGTAAATAATCATTTAGTATAGACACGACGTAACAGACAAAAAATAATTTTATTCTTTTTCAAACACTTTGAGGCTGTTTCCAATGCTTTATTTAATCACTGTAGATACATTTGTTAGTTGGCAATGCAAAATATATCCTAATGCAATGCAAAATATATACCTATTGCCTATGCAATAAGTGATATCCTGACATATTCATATATATCATTCATTCATAACTGCAGGTAATATCTAAAAATAAGTTCGGTATGGTTGCAATTAGTAGAAATCCAACTTAAAATTAAATCTTCCTATAAATACTTACTATAATCTTTACATTCTTAGCCTGACTAAGCAAATATTTCCTTTCATTTTTCTTGGATGAACTGGGTAAATATGATTTTATTACTTTTTTGCATACTTTTTTAGTTTCCTTTCGAGTTTATTTACTGACATATTTGCTCAATTGGCATGAGTTTTAAATTTAATAAACAATACCATTTTTGACTCAAGGCTATATTAAATTCCATAACAATATTTCGGAAAACAAAAAACATTTAGAACAAAAATATTTAGGCGCAATAATAAAATATTAAAAATAAAGTTATGCATCCTTTGAACTTATCAGAAAAAAAGTACACAAATAAAAAAATTTGCGGCGTTTGTATCAAAAATTCAATTAGGACTTTTGTAACTTTTCCACTCTGCCATTGGGTTAAAAAGCATGAAGGAAAAAAACTCCTTTTCAATTGCGAACCGACAACAAAAACAAAGCTGCAAATATTTTCCAATGTTTTCAAATTTTTAAAATTCAAAACATGCAAAATATGAATATCAAACCTTTTCCA